AAACACTTATTGTAGTTTGCTCAGAGATCTGAGGGCGCAAGCGCAAAGCGCGAGACATGTGAAAAGAGAAGAAAGAGAAAAAGAACTGCTTATTTCGGCTCGCGTGCCTACCGCGAAACCCACCAAAGCGCCCCCAATAACGCCTGTTTTGCAGGCCACATAATATATTGTTTTGTCGCTTTTTTGTAATGAAGACCTTTGTTCTTCTTCGCACTATAAAATGCCCAAGGCCATGTTCACGCTATATCGGATAGCTTTGCGCCGGTTCGAAAACCACACCATATAAGGCTTGTGTTCACACATAAGAATGGTGATTTCGGCGCGATTTCTGTAACGGAGCGAAGCTGTGCTACGCCGATCTCTGAAGTGGAGCGTCACATATCGCATAGGATACTCATTTACCGGAAAGTATTTCGTGTCTGCTCGAAAAGCTATCCGGTACGTATGGTATGAACATAGCCTGAGAGCCCTGAGAGACAGACGTCATTTTCTCCTGAGACTGGCCGCCGCGGCTTAAGTTAGACTTCGTTTAATTAATCGACTTAATGTTTCTGACGCTAGTACAATGTTCTTTTCCTGACTTAATAAGCGCTCAAAACATGGTTCGAGTTATCGAGGGTAAATTTAAATAGAAATGATCTGAGGGGAAACAAAAATGACTTCGAGTTAACGGGAGGTTCGAGTTACCGAGGGTAAAATTACAGTAAATGTATGAAGGAAATCCAGGGGGAATCGATTTTGGTTCGAGTTAGCGCGAGGTTCGAGTTAGCGACTGTTCGAGTTATCGGGAGTCGACTGTACATTTATTGTTCCGCGGAGTAATGATAAACGTATTTTCGTTCATGTGTACAGTCTTGTCACGATCAGACAAGCCATTTCTCATAACTGCTCTGTGGAGAAAATAAGAGAGAAACGTTAAGATAAGTTTTCCAGGTGTAATCAATGACGGATCAGTCATTATATATTTTCAGTTACTAATACTAATGAGCTTTGATTAAGTTTTATTCCACTTTTCGTATTTATCTTCCAATGCATTGCTTAGAGAAACATTTTGTGTAAATCATTACTGTGTCTCGAAGTAAAGGCTCAACAGTATTTTGTAAGCTTGAAATTTCGCATAATCCTGGGTTAAACTTAACCGTCTTTCTAGGAACCGGACCCAGTTGAGTATTGGCCTCAAAGCGACAACATTTCTCAATTATTAGCGGGGCTCCCGCGCGCGCGAAGCGCGCTTGGGACAGAGCCCCATACTCATGGAATAATTATGGTCAACCTCTTTTCGTTTGGTTGTCACGTGATTGACCGAGCGTACGTACGTACGTACGTACGCGTCTACAGATTGTACGGGTGGGGTAGGGGGAGACTATCAAAAGGAAGGGAGGGGTGTCTCAGGCGTGTCTTGGCAAGTCCACATCTTTAATATAGGATTTTAGTATAGGACATTCACAATTATGGTCAATTGACAGCTGTCAAAACAGGATAGCCACTGACCAGTGTCCCATGACCATATCGCGGGCTCATGTTTCAACTCATCGAGGTGACGTGATTTATTTGGAAGCTGTCCGCTGACCAGTTAATTGTTTTACTAGATCGCGAACAATGTTCAATCTCATACTTTTACTAGTTAACCTGATAATGCACACATATTGGACATCAACGTTTTGATCAATTGACAGCTGTCAAAACAGGGTACCCGCTGACCAGTATCACTTGACCGTATCGTGGGCTCAGGTGTCGACTCATCGAGGTCAAGTATTTTTTGAAGTTATCCGCTGACGAGTTACTAGTTTTCAAGTGATCGCAGGCTCAAGTTCAATTTTTTTCTAAATTCATATGAAATATGTTGTGTTTATGTGCTACACAATTAAAATTTTGATTGCAAACTGACCTCGCACGCGAAAATTCAGCCAGGCAGGGAAGACAGTTGCCTTTGACTTTTCTCACCATGGTCACGCGTTGGTCACGCTCTACGTCCAATTTTTATGCTCTGATTGGTCAAAATTTGACAGGTGAGTTCATGTGGAAAATTTATGCAGCATCTTGAATCTTGTTTACTTTGACATCTGAAGCTGACAGAGTTTTGTGTCAACTTGTGATGTTTTTAACTGTCTTTTTCTACTGCATGTGCAAAATGAAATTCAGCTGCTATCAGGAGTCTTCTGTTATTCATGGCTAGTTTGTTTATTGGGTTTTTGGTTGAGCTTGTCAAAGTCGGAAATCCGATTTCGGATGGCATCGTTTTCTTTTTCACCTTGCTTGATGCGTAAGAGGATTGCAAAGTCTGAAGCGACACTGACTGTTCTTGATACCTTTCAGGAGCTGCATCTCGAATGGTAAGTCAGAGAAATTATTGTATTTGATGTTTGTTTTTTGTATCTAATTTAATGAAGTCGAGCGGAGTTTATGCGGGCATTTAGTTTATGCACGTTTGTAAGATTTGAGACAATGGTCTGACCGAGTATCAGGTTTGATATAACTTTAAAAAGCCTTTAGACAGTTTCTCACCGCAAATTGAAAGAAAACGTTCCAAAGAATATTTAGTTATAATTCTAGCCGGAAAAGAAAGCTTTGAGCGATTTTCTTGCCTCGAGTTCGTCTTTGAAAAAAGCAAACACCGGTAAGCCGGCTTAAAACATAAACTTAAGCTTGAAGCTTGAAGACTCAGGATTTTTAGGGACACTTTAATACTTGTCTTCCTGAATGAAAATTGTTGTCTCTGTATATGTTTCACCGAATTATATTTCTTTTATTGATTGTTAGTAGTGTCTCTTGTAATTTTAATCGCTGTGCCGATTGTTTTCAGTCGTTCAGTGAACATCGCTCGCAGGAGTACTCAAAATGCCGCGCGTTAAACCATTAAATAAAAAATAAACATGATAAATTCTTTATAATGTTGGAGCATAACTCTGTTAATGTTCATTCAAACACTCGCCACAGCTCGCACTACAAAAGTGAGAACCGGATGGCCGTATAGGTGATTTTGGAAATTTTTTTAACAGTTTGTATTGTGAAATACTGCTTTCTGTCCGAGGTTTGCCGGTATGATAAAAACAGTGCCTCATGCTACTGTTTCACCTCAGATGTGATGTATAAACGCTATAAAAGGTTGGTTTATAAATACACGCACCCAGATTTGTTGACAAGATTTTGGAAAGTAAACTTGTCGAACGCAAAAAAGTTGGCCTGATTTTTTTTTTCCACTAATTAATCTACGGTGATCAAGAGCCATTATGGCTCTTAAATGTGATCGAAGATGATTACCAGTTTTTGGGTGTACATATGAGGCTATCAACTCGATGTAAGATTTGGTTCACTCTTGGGCTGTTTGCAAATTATTTTTCTCTAAAATCAGGAAGCCTTTCCCTCAAAAGTCACATAAATGTGCTCTAAAGTTAATTGAATTGTGGAATTCGAATACAAGTCTATTGCTTAATTTAAATTATAAATTTATTAATGGGAGCCTCGCTTTTAGCCCTGGCTAAATCTACATATTACGAATTGATAATATGAATAACGAAACAAATGGTTTCAATAATCGGGATGTTTTCATAAAGTAGCCAAAGTAGTCTCGCCACCAACCATTTTTTAGATGTTCGAAAATCCCAGGAGAAGCAGGCAAGCAAGAAATTTTACAACAAATGTTCCGTAAATTCTAGATCTCAAATCGTCTTCCGAAGAGATATTTTCCGAAAATTGACGTTGGGTGCCCCTGAGGCTGTCCAAGCAGTTTTCCTGTAGAAATTTCTTAATCACTAGCTATTACATCACTCACTTTGGTTTCTTTGTTTTACGCCACCCGTGAGTTTGAAAGGTTCTTACACCGAGGTTGAGCCGGAAAGTTAGTCACGCGCAGATCGGAAAACACAACACCCATTACAAAAGCTTTTAGTGAAAAGTTTTGCCGTGACTGCTGCAGACACCATGAATGGTTTACATGAAGGATTCTGGAATTCATGAAACAAATTTTTTAGACTGAAGAAAAACGGGGACATCTTTGAAATAGAGTCTCGAATTGTCCACGTTCGATATTATTAAAATTCTAACATGACTCAGAGGCATAAGGGTCAAAATTACAAATTTGTCACGACTCCATTGTCTCGCAATTCCCAGAACAGACTTGAGCCCAAAGAAAACCAAACCAAATATAGAAAAACGACCAGAATTAAAGCCGCGGAGTTATGTTAGAATTTTAATATATGGAACGTGGGCTATTCAACCCATTGCATTTTAATCGTGCATTTTAACCGCGCTTGTGTACTCAGGACCTCACGAGGAACTATAGTCAACTGGGCATAGCAGGGTCTTTCTATGTTCTGCGTGTGGTCTTTGTATTTTCATCATCTTTTATACTTGGGAATTCAATTGTCTTTGAGGGAAATTTACCCGCTAGGAAAACAAAGGTTAGCTCACAGCTATTGAAGAGCATCTCGTATTTCACGGCGATAAAAATCATTAAATGTTTTTAATGTACAATTTTTTACACAATATTATAGTACATGTATACTTTAACAGTGGGTTCAGACGTACCCACTCCCTGACTCGCATCTCTGTTCAAGGGACGGCGACTAGCAGAGGAGATAGGGCTTAACTCCCACTTCAAGGCCCCCACTATCTGAACGCTGCTCAACCATTTATGCAATTCATGGCACTGATGGCACCTTTAAACAGGCCCCTTAAAATTTGTCTTGTGAGAGCCCGGTGTGACAATTGTGTTCCATAGTGTAAGGACGAATCGGGGCGCAACAAAATTGCACGCCTAATTGATCACTGATTCCGACTTGATTGTCAAAGACTACCTAAGAGTAATATACTGTCTTATCTTGTACGCCTCATTACATGACCTAGTGTAACTTTCATAATTACATTACTGTCAATGTTACAATGATGACGATAAATATTACTGTAATAGGGGCTGATTTCATCGAAATATCGTATGGTGAGCCATACTCTGCTCATTTGATTGTTTATGACGGTTAATTATCAGAGATAAGTTTTCTTCATCAGCGTATGCACAATGCTATACCTAAAACAATGTTCGAAAGAATGATGAACTTGTTAATGAAATTAGCTCTTGCAGCACTGGTAGAAACAACAGTCGTAGTTTCTGAAAAAAAAAGAGAAAAAGAGAAGTGAAAAGGCGTCAGTATCGCGATGCAAGGGTTGTTGTTTAGCCTTCGTGCAATACTTTGAATTCTTACAATTTACGTCTCCTCAATATTTAACTAAATATTTTTGTAATATATTGAATGTCTGTTTGTATATCTAGCTGATTTTTTGAAAACCAACCTAACGAAATTTGCAGTCATTTGAGTGAAGAAGCGTCAAAAGGCTTGTTTCCTGAGCCCGAGAAACTCCGAAATCATAGTAACGAAGGAAAATTAAGGAAAGGAGAAAAAGAAAGAACGAGGAGAAGGAAAGGAGGAGAAAAAAAAAGCAATAACAAAAAAAGCAAAAGGTCCATTTGGCGATAAAGTTATCAAAAATTCGGCCAGCTATGTGTATACATTTTTTTCTGGCAAATAAATAAACTGAAACTAAAACTGAAAAAGATGTTCATGCTCTCGACCTACACGTGGGCTTGCAATTTTACTTGAATTTAGACGTCCCCCGTTTACTTTGCTTATCACACATGTCGGAGACGTCCTGACACAAAGTCCAGGACGGCCCGGTTCAGTCTTGAGGGTACTTCCCAGATGGATGAGAGGATTCTTTTTAAACCCACGCCACGCCTTGCTTGTTTTGAGTTTGTGGGTAACTGAATGAATTTTCTCTAAGGCTAGACAAAACAAAGATCAATTGAGTTCCGGGTAACTAACCTCCTACCCCTCCCTAAGTCAACATTAACACTTACTTCTCGCTTAGGGAAACATTGTGTCTTAAGGGAGGGGTAGGAGGTCAGTGACACGGAACTCAATTGATCCTAGTTTTGGGTAGTCTTTTAGGGAGAATTCATCTCTCAGGGTATTGATTAGTCTAATACGATTTTTGTGTCGTAAGGAAACGAACCAAAGAACGGCTACCAACAGAGGCTATGAAGAGCCAAAATATCATGTCAGGCATTCCCCAAAGATTTCCATCACGTTCATATTAAAGCGTCCCCCAGGAGCAAGTCAGAAACAATGCTGTTGCGCTAACGTTTAAGAACGATCCTCAGATTTGCACATGATCCCTGCATGATGTAGTTCAGAATATTGGGAAATTCCATATATTGTTTTGCAATTTCTGCACACTGTAACTTTACAGGAAAACATGTCTCTTGTTTCTTACCTGGTTTGCGACATTTATCTTTGGGTTGAAACTCCATTAGTTTTCCTGAGGATCTTTGTAAAATTAGATCGAAGGCTTTGGATGGTTCATCGACTTGCTTTTCTGTTAGTGGTTGAATAAAAGATATAAATCATTAAAACCTCTCTAGTTATAAACAATCACATCCAGAGGCGAATCCTTACGTAATCCTTGTTCAAAATTTCTGCCTCATTAGCATGAATAACTCTTAGTCTACTCTTCTTTTGTCATAAAGCTATAATCGTAGCACCTCTGAATAAAAAAATAGTGATTACAGTCAGCGACCACCGGACGAGCATTCGAGATTTTAAATTAAAACAGATATGTCTTGAGCAACTTTGTTTCTGAATCTCAATTTCATGACGAATTGGCAAAGCGGTTCACCAAGGAGGGCTGACATACATTAATTTCTTTGCACAAAATTAAAGATTGGAGCTTTTATAACTTTGAAATCTAATGAATTGGATGAGTTTTCCCCCTTTAAATTGACTCATCGACTATAACAATTTTATTAAATGAGTCGATCGAGAGGCTAACAAAGGTTTACACTTTATCACTAACCATTTCCCATGATTCCAAACTTGACAGTTATACAGCCTTGAACTTGACTGTTCTCCATTCTAATGTAAAATATCCGCCACTCTGGGATGTTAAGCAACGCTGAAACCCTTTTTGTAAAGTTCAATCTACAAGAGAACGAAAGGACATTTTAAATTCAGCTTTGTCTTGAATATTATGATCGAGCGAGGAGTGTGTATATCCTACCTCGTCCCCAGGGCGCTTTCCCCTGGCTTTGGCGCGTCCCACCTCCATCCCCGGGTTTCGTTCTGATGCTATCGCCGTCTTCAAAATCGCAATATATATCTAACATTTTTTTTAATGAGTACGGTAGTGATAGTTTACGACAGAGGAATTTGTAATCCCTTTATCACTGGAAGGTGAAATATCAAAACTCAGGGGTTATTTTACGAGCAGGTCTCGTCGTATATGATCAACCGTTGAGTGTTGACCTGCCTGCAAAATCAGTTGTCTGACGTTTCGACAACTTGTGCGGAAATTAGCATCAGATTCTCTATTTAACTATAAGTGGAAATTTTTAATCTGGTGTACTTGACTATGAGTTTCAAAACGGTTTAAAGGAGAGAGAAAAACAGAAGTTTTGGCGCCAATTTTAAATGATTTTATGACAAGTTATCTCGGCCACCCACTTAAGGTGGCAGCCTTCAGTGTTTTTCCTTAAAGCCTACTCTTTGATGACAAGCGCGACTGTATTTTTAACATTTGCTGACACCTTTTAAAAGTGGGATGAAACAAATGGCAACTATTGGGGGCAAATGGAGATCATTTCCTTGAAATTTAAAACATGTTACCATAGCAACATAACAATCTCTGTGTTAAAGCACCCCCCGCTCCGCCCCCGCCCCTATGTTAGCCGAAAAAGCTGGAAATTGTTGTTGCCCTTTTTGTATCTATCTCATGCAAATTCAACTGGGCAAAACCTACCTGGAAAATGTCGTCCCTTCTACGTAGTGTAGTGTCTTCTCAACATACAGAGAATCTACTGGTTTGATGGTAGCACAAGCAAGGCGGGCTGCTCCAGCGTTTTCGGCGTGCACGACAACCCCACGACCAACAACTGGAAAAAAAATTAATATTGCACACATCAGTGAATCACTGTTCGAAATTGTCTATTAAAATAGGCTAGCAAATCCATTCAGTGGTCAAAAACAGTTTCACACACTTAATTAGCTGCTGTAAGTGGTCATGACCACTGACTGATCATTAAGTAAAACCATTTTTCTTTTCTTGAACAGTCTGGTGCTGTTTCCTTCCTATTTTGGTGATGCACAGTAAAACTCCCGGAGAAACTATTGACATGTAAGTAGGGGTTAAGGTTTTTCTTTTACCTGACATTTCTCCAAATAATGGAAGGCTTGGATCTGTATAAAACTGCTTCCCTGAACCAACATTCAACCGCGCATGCTTGCCAGAAAGATCACCAACTTCACAACGCAACATATTGCTAGAAAAACAGGATGACTTATACGATCCCTGTAAACACAAACATACAGTATAGATCTGTAACTAATGAATACAACAAAATGATCCTTCAAGCGTAGGAGCACTACAACCTAGCAACTGAAACACGACATCCTGTAGTCCATTTTTTTAACGTTTATCAAGCTTCATTGCCAATGATATTCTTCTTACTCACCTTCCGAATAGCATTTAACTTTTGTGTGCGGAAAGAACTAGCTTTTTTATTTGGTCCTTTTTGAAGTATATGGCAGGCGATGCCATTAGGAGGTGTATCAAACAAACCAACGATAATTCTGAACATCGCAAGTCAGAACGGCTCTCTAACATGTTCACAATTGAAAAACGGCTTGAATTTCAGTAATGGATGACAACTGACAAATAGCCCAAAATCTAAGTGACAAATGATTTACAAATGTGGTTAACTCACAACTGACAAAATTTTTTCCATGGCCTGAGTAACCGTTTGACCATCTTAAATTTTTCTTTTGGTTATTATCAGATAAGTATTTTCTCACGGCAAATTAGCAAACTAGTGCACGAGAACAGCAGAGTATATTTCTTATGCCTTTCCCGGACTGCCTAAGGTCATTTAGAAAATAAAGTTAATCCTTGTTAATTAAACGGTAACAAGTATGATCTCATTTCAGAGACTTCATAGTCGCCACGTCCTGGCAAAAAACATGTCTTTTCAAGCAGTGATAAAAGGAATCGTGATCGTAAGTTACCATTAAGAGCTTAAGGTTTATTATATTAGCGACAATACTTACAGCCAAGTCAACATTGTAAGGATTATAATGTCCCCCCAGACTCTTGCATCTCTCGCCCATCGCAGCGTGCGTGTCCCCTCCTTCGGGTTTCACGTGCACGTGCCACGAGTGATTCATACTCTGATAAAGAAAAACAAAACCACAAGTCAAGCTATAGGATACATTACTATTTACAGAGATTGTAGTAAAACAAAAGAATCTTTTGTTGCAAGAACCAACGCGCTTGTGATTGGCATATTAATATCAACAGATGACGTCAGCGTGACTTTCGCTATACCACAAGCCCACAGCAACCGAATAAGAAAATGGCGTAAAAAAACTTTTGATATTTTCAGAGACTACATACCCTGTGTACCGGGCAGCCTATCGATCGGGGGGTAGGGCGCTAAAACGAAGCATCGAAGGTAAAGGGGAGGGGAAATAGGTTCCGGCCTCCCAACAACCCCCACCCACTTTCAAATTTCCCATCGGGATAACTTATTCACTCTCGCGTTCTTTTTCCTTGTCTTATTTGCAACCGGTTGGTGTGTGCTCAAGCTAAGTTATGCTAACCATGCAGCTAGTTTCAGATAGAACAAAGAAGTAGTTGTGCTAATTATTATTTTACCTGTTTGCCTGCCTCGTTCCCATACGACAGATGAACATAAATCGATGTCTCCTCGGGCGACATAGAGCTATCGGACGTCTTGTACTGTATCTATATAAAGTGGAGTTAATACAGTTGTCAAGACTACGCATAAGTGTATTTATAGTCAATCTGAATAACAAATTAGATGAGGTTGATGTTTTGTCTTCTCTTTTTTTATCATGACTGGAAATGCATAAATGCTCTGGAAAATCTTCTCTCGATATTTACATATGCACATATGTCCCACGGTATATGAACTAAATCAGTGAATTGGACATGGTTCATTGTCCGCTTGATTACCTTACAGGGGCTGTGTCACAGCAGTCCAGTTATTTTGTTTAATTTTGCCAATTACGCGCCCTCAATCGCTATGGAACTTAAAAGAAGCAAAGAAATTACATGTAAATGACAAAATCAGAGATCCGAGACAAACAAATATGTCTCCTGAGCATTATTTTTGAAGTTGCAAGCAGCAGGGATCAACTTTGGAACACTGTTAGGCTGAACAGTTTTCCAAAACCCTAATTTCAATCCGTTTCAGTCTTCTTCAGTTTTGCCCATCCGTGCCATCTGTTGCTTCTATTATGTTATTTTAACCTTCCTTTAAAGTTAAAAGTGGTTATTTTTATGTTTCTCTTAATTTAACGGGCATTTTGTAATTTCCTAATTTCGTGACACAGCTCCCTTAAGAAGTAAAAGCAAAACAAATCTTTTAAATATGCTGGACATAAAAATGCTACGCCATATTTTCAAGCGCAGAGAAATATCTCGCACAACTGTTTCAATTGAGCATGATCGGTCTGCCAAAATAATAATAATAATAAACTCTATATACGTGTCAGGATATTTAGTGATGAAATTATATCTATGAAAATGTATGATAAGAATGTATCGCTATATATCTATAAGAATACAAGCATTAAAAGTAAATTAAGAGTGTCATAAATAGCAATTCTGACAGTTAGAATTATCAACTAGTTCCGCTGTTTTTCTTTTTTTGAAAAGTTTTTTTGTTCGTTTGTTTTTGTTTTTTTTTCCTCGATCGCGTTTTTAGACAGAATAATGGCAATAAAACTCACTTACCAAAAGTATGTACCCCATAACATCTGGACCCGTAAAAGTTATTTTGGTTCTCATGACAAACATTTTGTCCACTTCAGCCATTTTCTGATGGACATCTGCACAGACCCATCTCATGCTGTTCATTACTTTCATTTTATGGATGACAACAGAACGACCCTGGATGCTGTTTTTACCAAACAATGGAAGATTGTAGTCCAAATGTGTTCCGGTGTAGCTTGTTAGGTTAAGAAAAGTTCCATATTTCCCACTAAGGTCACCGATTTCGTACTGATCATTCGTTCCTATTAGAAAAGGAGTCTCAACGTTAAAAACAACCTCGTGAGAGATGCGAAGATCCGGGCTAAAGTCAGGCTGCAGAGTAGCTTTCTTGGATAAGTAATTTGCTCCACTTTGGTGAACCCAGGGGTATAAATGGGTACCGGCGACAGGCTGGGTAACCCTGTGATGGATGTCTGGAGTAACGTTCTAGATAACTTTTGAGAAATCATCAAAAATATGGAAGATGAGGTGATCGTTAAATAAATTGAATGGGCTTGTGGTCCACGAAAACGTATGGAAAAATACGTGAACCGTTTATCATGCGTGTGTGACGTTTCAGCTCTTAGAATTGTATGAGGAGGAAATTGTAAAATTGAGGCTAAAATTGTACTTAGCTACATACCAGTTCCAGGCGAAGGACTGGACTTGACATCCACGCCAAAGGGGTTCCAGTGTCCTCCTAAGTGACTCCCTGCACAGGATTCCATTCCGGTGTACTTCATTTGCCATGGCATGGGATAGTTGTGAATGTGATATCCCTGAGACTCCTTTCTTAATCCAGTGAGCCTTATTTCCGTCATCGTTGGATCAAAGGGAGAGAGCTGTGTAAACTTGAAATAGCCGTCTACACCATCATGAACACTGGCTTTGAAAGTAGATATGAGAACTCTCGGTTTTACTTGCATTATCTTTGCGCAAGCAAAAGGGGTCATTGAATCGTCACTTGAGAACAATGTAATTGTCTTGCCAATAACGCTTTTGACACCAGTAAGTGGAAGGTTGGTGTCGGTAAAGGCTACTTTGGTTTTGGACTGTCCTCTTGTTGCCATGGAGACAGTGATGTTTCCATGCTTGGAAGTCAAATCACCAATCTGACATTTTTCGTGTTCTAACTGGCTACAATTTTGCTTGTCTCTGTTTTCAGGATTGAAAACGTCACCGGGCATTCCGCAAGTAGCTGATGCTTGGTTTATCTGCCATGTAACCCGTCTACCAGATTGAGCATCGTTGGAATGGAAAAGGTTAACGAATATAGTTGTATCTGCGCTCTCATCAGCTTGCCGCAGATACACAAAACCAGCAACCGGCATAGTGAAGACAGCTACTGCTGTAAGCATAACTTTATCCGGGCTAATCAGTGAGCAAGCCCTTGGTGTGCCATCCTTGTAAAGAACAAGTGTTCTGCCCATGATGCTGTTGGCCCCTCTGATAGGAACAGTCAAATTCTGGTCTGTAAAATTTTTCTGTGCGTTGCTGGCATTTATAGCTCCCAGCATTCCTGTCAAGTCACCAGTGGCACATACTTGAAATCTTGAAGAACTTGATTGACTGCACGAGCTATTGTAGTCTGCAGATTTCATGGCCATCGCAGGGTCAAACAGATCTCCAACTACGCTTGGACTGCAACTCATAGCTGCATTACCATCGTAGATCATTGGAAGTTGTCGAACATCCCAAGTCAGGGTTTCGTTCTTGATACCTGTTAAGTTAAGTGAGATACTTGTGGGACTACCTTGTTGCGACTGGTAGAACATGACGTTACCTTTTATCCCACCCATGTTGAAAATGGCCTGGAGTTGAACACTTGTCGCCGATGAATACCAGATAAAACATCCTGTAGAAATAGATATTAAGTTGCTCGTCGTTAAAGGTGAATTCTACAATATTTTCTTTATTTGTTAGGTGGTTTGTAGTGCCAGCAAATGGCAGAGTTTTTGTAGTCAGACTCATGATTTTTGATCAAAAGTGCACCTGACAAGAGGTTTTCCTGTCGTTATTTTCGTTTCTTTCGTCGTAACGGATGGAAAGAAACTGATATCCAGATTCTAATTTTTGAGTCTTCCAAAGAAGCGTGTCTACTCTTATTCATTGTGTGAGGTCACTATGCATGTACGCACTTACATAGTGTGCTGGAGCTCAGGTTAGCATGCGCAGAAGCTGCCGTTTCAATCAAGGTTATAAATGAATATTCATATTTTATATTCAATTGAATAAAGCCAGACAAGCTGCAAAACAAAATTTAAAGTAAACATCTCATTTTGAGGTTATTCTGGCTGTAAATAGAAAAATCTCCCAAGCAGATATTAGGTTAACAAATGCATACGCATATACATATGCATCCAACGACGTATGCGGACCAAAGGGCTTGTATTATGATTTGTGGCAGTTTGCGTTTAACGGCTGGCGACAGATATTTGCTAAAGAAGGGTTGCCTTTCAGTTTTAAAAACAATAAGGTGAAGTAGTGTTTACAATGAAATTGTCAACTGTTAGAGTTCTCAGTAGGAGAGGGTCTCTGGCCATGATGAAGTATTTGAACGGTCAACATTTCATCTGTTCTTTACCATATTTTTTTCTGGGTTACTTGTCTTGTTGCGAATTAAACCTACTGAATGCAGATTGACCTTCCAGCAACATACAAAAATGGAAGAAATAAAAAAAAAATGCCGGTATGTATAAAAGCTTTTCTCAGTTGAAGGAAAGAGTAAAACTATCTCTTTTTCTAGTGTTATAACAAGAACCTTTACAAAACGCAAAGATTCAGTCTTCTTTTAAGTAACTCATGATATTTTACAACCAGGGCTTGATAAGCGGAAGATTACGTGTAATCTTCGATTCGGCTGTTGATACGCCTTGGCTTGCGGCTTGCTCGATTCAGTGCCATTTTACATTAAAAGCTACTACAGATGACAATAGAAATCGCTCACTGTGAGTTCAATTGCAATATCATATCACGTTTTTATTTGTTTCCACACACCATTAATCAGTTAACGACTGAATCGCTTCGATTGACCCACGGAGAGCATAATTGTAGTTAATTTCAGTTATAATTTGTCAGGCGGAATCGAAAACTTCCTATTACAGGTAAAGTAAGCTAACTTAAGAGTTTTCCGGAGAGATGAGGTACCAGTTGCCAAGTTTTACTTCTTTGTTGCAAATTATAAAACGTGTTATAGAAGTGCCGAATTTAAGATAAATACCGAGAAGAGTTGTTTGGAGTGTTTAGAAAAATGATGAGACTCGCAAGCGACGCTTCGTCGACTCTAATTTCAAAAACAACACCAGCAATCGCCCAAATATCTACACACTTAGTGAGTCCATTCAGAGGCAAACTCTGAGGTGGGGAGAAAGGAAGGAGGTGGAATGAAAACTCCTTCCCCATCTGTCAGTCCTGGATAAACCAAGAGATGGCTCGAAGGGCAGCGTTTGAAACATTTTGCAACGGTTAATATCGCTGAGAAATACACATTCAAGTGCCTAAATTGCCGGAGGACATTAGGGATTTGAGCAATAAAAATAACAGAAAACACGTGCGCAATCAGTAACGAATGCAATAGCGACTGACCACCCACTTCTTTTAGTCAGTCACCATCAGTCAAAAGTAACTGCTACATCCAGCTTCAGTTCCACCGCGGTCAAACGTCTGGGGAGAATTTTTGCGTTATTTAGTGAGATTTAATTTAAAACACTTGGGACTGGATTTTTGAGACATCCAGTCTGCGTAGATATCTTTCATTTTTATTGAAATAATGTGCTTTGCGTCCATTTTTGTAAATGGTACAGACAATTCCGCAAATTCAGTTTTCAAAGCTGTAAGACATCTTTATAGTAAATTTCTAAAACTTTAGAAAAGTAATACTGGGTCGTGATAGCATAATGCAGGGAAATACGTTAAACTTGAACAGTGAAATGAAAACGGCTTAACAATGAATTGCTTTGCTTCGCATTTGCACACTTCTTCCGTTTCAGTGCTAGCAGTCAACCCTTGAGTATATATCAAACCCTACGTCACAGATAGTGATGTGTATCATTCTATAAAAGGCTTCATTTTGTTTATATGCATCACACGTTTCTAATTTTCCTGTTAGGATAATCAGCCATTTCTTTGTAAATGAAAATTTTTGCAGAGTCATAATGCCCTGTGGTTTTACTTTTTTAGTCTTAAACATTTATTCTCCTCTTCTTTTCCTATGAAATGTACTGAATCTATGGCTTGTAGATGTAGACTCGATCTCAAACGGCTTGTTTCAGTTCGTGATGTTACTGATATTACAGATATTAGTAATCATTGCTTATATTATTCACTATGCTAGTTTATTGGACACCTGCGTATAATTATTTTAGCTTTCGAATTGGGCACGGAAGTATTTAACATAACTAACCAAATATGATGTTCGTTTCTATAAATTTGATCATGACTGGGATGCATGGTGTAGAGTTAGTGTGAATGTTGTATAGTTGCGTTTTTAAGATTTATTGGTTATTGGTGCTGGTCTCTGGTCTAAGAGACACTCCCTTCTGGAGAAAAATTGACGAGGACAGAAGTTCTACAAGCTTCGCTACAGGGGAAGTCAAGTTGCTTCAGAGGCATATACAGCCAATATTAAGTAAAGCGAAGGTTAGGTCGCTGAATTTTCTGTTTTTATCCAACTACACTATTTCGCGTCTGACATACTGTCTTGCAATTGTGGCCTGGTGAATTCCAGCTTCCTGTAACAAGATGTACAAACAGTTTTCCGAGGAGACAGGAAACGAAAACAGTCATGGATATAAGGATTGCTTGTTCTATATTAACGCGCCATTTTCTGAAGGCGGAAATGAAAGCTTGTGAGTACTGAACAAAGTTGTTCTTTGTTTTTCCAAATTTTCATATGTATCCAGTATGCTTTTATCAGTCTGGCTGTAGGTTGGATCATAACTAAGGGTAAGTTTCCTCATATCTTTTTTCTGACCACACCAGACTTTGTGAGGTAAATTTGTTACATTATCAATCAATCAACAATAAAAAATTCAGCTCCCATGGAATATCGTTATCGTTATTATTCTAATATTGATAAAATTTAAAAGATCTAAGGAAATAACAATCAAACATTAAATGATTAACGACCTCACTGGGCTTTAGCGGGCACGAAAATAATTTTGACGGGCAAGGAAAGTTCTTGGAGATTGTTGGCTTCTTTGGTCCACACTGAAGTATGGCTTAAAATTTCAAGGTCGAGTTTTTATTATTATATAGAAATGAAGCATAAACGAGTTATTTGTCTGTAAAGTTAAAAAAAACCACAGAATTTCCTTACCAATCACAGATACAGTTGTAACACCTTTCTGCTACTACTAACAGCAAATTCTTATGGTGCCAACCTAATTCCCGTTTTCAATTCAGTGTAACTAAAACCAATTTGTATATCAGTTTTATATATCGTTAATGCAAATTATTTACCTGAGTAAAAAAGAACTGTCAAATACAGCATTTGGAACGGTACAGGTGGAGACATGGCGAGCGGAGGTAGCAGGGCAAGTTCACCGGGAGTTCAGTGGCAGACCTAACTGGATCTGTCTCACTTCAGCAGGACACAGGATGATTTATACCCTTCAAGCCGGAACTGTTTTTTCAGGGTCATTTATTCTTAGAGTCATTTATACTATTCTAAGAGTCATTTTGACAGCTTTTGAACAAACATCGAATAGGGAAATAAATTAAACAAAAGAAGACCGCTTATAACGTCATATTCAGTGGCTAGAAGGACTTTGATCACTTATGTACTATTGTTTCTTCAAGGAAACAATTGACTCACGTGAAAGGTAGGACGCAATTGTGCATCCATAACGAAATCATTACATCTGAATTAACTATTGATGATTGAAATATCATAAATAAGTCTAACAAAGCAACACGCACGACACTGGATTTGTTAAAACACATAACGAAATTAATTTGCCTAATGAGTTCATCATTTTGTTTCTGGGGGCTAAAAAATACCTCAGTCTGATTTACGTAGTTGTTTCTATTTATTTTGCAAGTGAATATCGCTTTAGCTGAATGGTTTCATTCGATTTCATCATCCACTTTACAGATTTCATAACTTCATTTTAATAAACCTTAATACAGAAATTGTCTCCTTTTTTTTTTTTTCTTTTCTGTATTTCGGGAACCCCAAACCATGTTTGAGTACTGTGTTACAGCCCGGAGCAAATTAAACGTAATTGTCCTACTGTTTTTTATATATGCACGCAATCCAACTTCCCTAATAAAGCTTTATATTATTTTTTAGACTTGTGAGGGCGAAAAGCGCCTATCAAGTGCAAAAAAGTCTATGATAGCGACAAAGGTTTTCCAAGGAACACAATTGTTTCGTTTTACTCGACCTGCCCTCGTTAACCAAGAATAAGTGAGACTTGCATTCAACGGCAAAGGTTTTCTAGAAGTGTAGATCACAAATAAATGACCTCGAGTTGGTATCCTTAGCGAGAAAGCGAGAGTCTGTAATTGCCAAAATAAATCTGCTTTGGGAAACATTGTGCTTTTTACAGAACAACAAGTTTCTTCAAAGTTTACGTTGAGAAAATTAAAGATAAACGAAGATGGTTTTTTAATACTTTTTCCGGATGAATTATATTTGGTTAGGTTTCTGTTTAGTTAATGACCAGGTATTGAAGTTGCTAAACTGAGCTAGACTTGACTACCGCTAAAAAATGCCGGAATGATATCGCCTAATCTTGATACATTTTACTCTACGAACTTCAAGTTACCAATACATCTAGATGATACGGTAACTCGATTCTATTTCTTTAAAGACATGAATTGTGAAAAAATAAACAGTATGACGAAAATTGCCTAGCAAAAGTTAATATGTAATGACTTTTCGTTT